CCCACAGACACCACCACAGCTCCGGGCTTCACACTGGGACCCAGAGAGGCAGTGACCTCTGCAATCATACTGGCGTGGCCTTCCCTGTATGGGTGAGTGTGTGGACACAGGTACAGTTGGAAAGTGAGTCGTTTTAAAGTGCTCTGTGCTTTAATGAGGAGGTTTTCTACCATAGCAAGGGGTGATCGAATGGAGGAACATAAGTAAGCCCTTCGGTTTCTGCCAGTTTGAGAGCCTCCGTGTTGGCATCATCCCAAACCTGCAAAGATAAGAGTCTTAGTCTTCTTTAAAAAAAATAAAATAAATCTAAATTCTGGATTTTAAACCATCATATCAGTGAGCTTCACCTTGCCTGCAATTCTGACAGTAGCACCCTGATCATGGAGTCTCTGGACCACCAATGGAGGAGTGGAGGAGGGAACTATGATGGTGGCTGGCACGCCCATTTTTTGGGCTGCATATGCTGCAGCCATACCTGCATTACCACCTGAAAAAACACCACCTTCAATACTAAAGAAACACACTAATGACACTGCATTGTAATGAGAATATGATGTTTAACAGGACAGAGTCACCTGAAGAGCAGATTACTCCTTTGGAGTGTCTGGCGAGCTGCAACGACACATTAAACAGTCACTGTGTGACACTGTGGATCTGAAGGAAGGGAGCACACGTGAGGGGGGCTGTAAAGATTCCCACCTGCTGGCAGAGGTGCCCGATGCCACGGATCTTGAAGGAACCAGAGGGCTGTGCATTCTCCATTTTTAGATAGACAGTGGTTCCCACCCTCTTGGACATGTTGATGCTCTCCAGCAGCGGAGTCTTCAGGTGGAAAACCTCTGCCATGGTGCACCTAGATGCCAATGCAAGAGAAGCAGTAAAAACTCCACAGAGTGCAAGTGGGTGGTACAGTGGAAAAGTTGTTCATCTTTTATACACTTCGTCTTCTGTTGGGTTTATTGGTAGTCAGAGCATAACTATCACCAGCTCTCAGATTGCAGTGCTGCAGAAAGAGAAGAAACAAAGCAGCTGCCTCTGCACAATTTGTGTTAATTTAAGGCACTGAACTCTTGAGTCATTTTTCATTGGCAGACTGTCTTTCACATGTAATTTCACTTTAATCTTCTGATCTGATTTAAAATCAACTGTGCATATTTTATTAGTAACCATGAGAATATCACCCCCCCCCTTCTCTGTGTACTGTATTCACCTACTGTGAATATTGTAACTTTGATTTTTCTAATCTCATCTCTTCTGTTTCTTACTGCACAAATCCTTTCTCCCACTTTCCACCTAAATCTGTAAAACCACTGTCCTTCACTTCCTTCCTTCTATTGTTGTTGCCACCTTCAGTTTCTGCTTCTTTCCTGATAAATTGGCTTCCTTCGAAACCTAATCTCACATTTTCCACTGATACCAAACGTGCCAGAGGACATAAAACCCCCCCAATGTGTGGATTCTTTAGTATTTCTCTTGAAGTGCCCGGTCTATTGCCTGTGTAAATACACTGTAAATGAGTTCGTTTATAATATTGACTACTATCACCGTTTTAATTATGTACCAAGCATGGGCAGTGTTGCTTTCAATAATAAAATAAAATGTCCAAAGTGGAAAATCAGGTATTTATATTCTTCACTTTAATCTTCAGCAGCTCTCTTTAGGGGTCGCCACAGCGGATCACCTGCCTCCATCTCACCGTATTCCCAGAACCCATCTATTTCATAATTAATAAATAAATAAAATAATACAAATTTAAAAACCGGTAAGGGTCAAAACCAAACAGAAGTATTTAAAAAAGAAAAACGGATAATAGCTTTTTGTTGCTAAGAGAATAGGTTTGACATACAGTTCACTTTGGGAAAGAAAAAAATGTGTAATTGTGGATATAAATATTTGGGAGAAACACACTCAAAGTCTGAATCTTCTCGCCTCTGTGGCAGAAAAACCTGTCTGCCAGCGGAACTTTATTAACACAACAAAGCAATAATAACATAAAGCGTCCGAAATGCTACGTTGTAATTTGGGATATCAAATACAAACCATTATATAAACCTCTGACTTACGTTCGGTTAAAATGTCTTCGTGAATGAGCCCCGCAACAAAAATTAATTAACTGTTTACTTTTGGAAAATGTATTACAGTTTCACCAGATGCTACGCTACATAAGAATGTAGCACATTGTACCGGAAAAGCATCCAATAGTAACAAGACGACTTCCGGTCACTGCTTCAAAATAAGTGTTTGATTAAAACCAATGACTGTAGAAACTTAAAGTGA